GTGSGGTCTGCTACGTGAGTGGGCTGAGAGGTGTGTAGTGAGGAGGGTSKAGACAAGGTATTGGCGACCCWGGTGGTGAGGGGTWTCGCCTSGAAGGCTACGGTGTAATTATTGGGTGTTYGCAGTGTGATRAGAACTATCTGTTGGATGATTGAGGCTGAGGTGGAACGGYGTGACAATGCTGGTTGTGCCSATCCTGTGACTGGTCATTGCCATCATCTTCAGGTCATCTGGTGAGATTATCTYTGTGGTTGGGGGCAGCTTGAAGGAGGTACGTTGCTCTTAACCTTATCTACCCTCTTCATCACTTCTTATCGTGAGGYTGTGAGTTCTGTCTTGAGAGTCCTCTCATCGTGAGGTGTCSAGTGCACTCAACCTTGAGAGTCGTGATTGTTCACGTGGAGCATTTGGGGGAAGACGGGCGAAGCTTCTTAAAGGGCCCTGGACGAAGCACTGGGTCACGGTCACCATGCCAACCCACTCGGAGTAGAGCACGCATGCTTTGCTGCTTGTCCTTGTTGTGCATGCTTGCGCAATAGAGGTCCTGCTGGGTGTGCCAGCCCATGAACAGACGCTTTCCAGACCGTCTATAAATATTTCTGGCGGGGTACCGGATCTGAATCTGGCTGTCATCGTCGTCCTGCTGCGACGTAAAATAATTCATGATGTCACTTGGGGGCGGACGTTAAATTGCCTCTTGATCAGCCAGATCAACTGGGTGTAAGGCCTGTTCCGTACGAGGGTAAATAAAAGTGGATGGGCTGGCTTGCTCAGCAATGACTTGGGGCACAGGGGTGGGCCGAACACATACACCTTCAGACACGCTTGGCTTCAGATGCTTAGGGACGTGACACCAGACTTTGAGAAGAACTAAGGAAGGGGTAGATTCCAGGTGATAAGTTCGGGTCAAATTCCATGCTGTGAACAGACCCAGTCAGTCAATATTATTTTAATTTTTGATTAGTTAGATGGACTGCCATGTGACATATGACAGACAACATTAGTTTAGAGTATTGTTTATTCCTGATGCTTTTTTGTTCGAGAATTAGTCAGACTAAAAATAGTATTGGCATTAGGAATCTGTACTTACCTGTTGTATCCCCCTGGATATCTCTGACACGACCACCGACTATTTTATTTATTTATTTTAAGTCGGCCGGTGCAGATGCTGCGGTAGGCAGCCAGTTCTGTCCTAGTGCGGACTAAGCATAGTTTTGTAGCATTAGAGCGGTAGGGAGGAGCAACAACCAGATGACCGTGTGTTGCGATCATCTGCCCGTAGACTCCCTCTAGTCTTTAGAGCGTTAGGATTAGAGGGAGACTGAGGCCTGCGCAGAGAGGCTAGGGAAAGGCAACGCCAGCAGCAGAGTGAGAGGGACGCAGAGGCTAGTAGATCCCTTGCAGCTGAGGCAGCAGCTTTAGCGGCTGCAATGGCCACCGCTTTGCAGCAAGGCACGACGCAGCAAACTTCCCAAGTCGCAAGTTCAGGTTCGTTAGGCTCATCGATGTCGCAGACTCAGAGTCAGTCTGCTGGCCCCATGGTAAGCCAACAGATATTGCTGTCACCCGAGGATATCGCCATCGAACAGGCAGCCCTGCGGGAGACACAGCTACAGAAGGACTTGGCACGTTTAAGAGCGGAGAAAGATAGAATGACTAGAAGGAGAGCCTGGTTGCAGAGAAGAGAAGCGGACATAAGAGCGTTGGATGAAATGAAGCTTGCCAATGTAGATGCCGATTCATTGACAGCTCGCAGGGCCGTGCTCGCTATGGCGGAGATGCAGGACCACCAAACTGCTGTTCTTAAAGACATTCAGCAGACGCTGGCCACTCTGGTACAGCGTTTGCTGGCAGTTCCATTTCCTGCTGGGCCTAATGCCTGGCCCATGGCACATCCACCGCCACCTGTCCCACCGGTGACTGGGGTATCCCCACATGCAGCCCCGTTTACGGTAGGCATAGTCTCCCTGGGCATGTCGCTTTCACGAGGATTAGCAGCGGGACCTAGTCAACAGGTTCCTATATAGACAGTGTTGTCCTATCCACCGGTGCAGGTTACCATCACTGGGCAACCTACTGTTCCACAAGTTGGTCAGCCGCAGGTCACACAGGCCCAGTCGGCTGTGAGCCAGCAACCGGTGTCCCCTGGTCAACAGCCTATTGTGGGACAGGTTCCAGGACAAGGTCAGTGGGTCCCAAAGACTGCCATCGCGGCCCCGAAACCCTTCTCAAGTGATAAGAAGGGTGAGGACCTCAACACTTGGTTGAAGATAGTCCCAGTCTATGTCCGGTGCAAGTTGACTCAGCCTCACAAGGAGGTGTTAGTAACTGCGTCCTTCTTAGAAGGGACAGCAGCCCGATGGTTGAGCGGGCAAGTGCAGTTAGAGGGCTATGGTCATGACCTCCGCGCCTGGCCAGCCACCAAGAAATTGGAGGACTTTCTCCGGTTAGTAGAGGAAAGGTGGCATGACCCACAAGAGGCCCAAAGGGCCATTGATGGGATTATGACCTTGACTTCTAGAAAGTTCATGTCAGTAAGAGATGCAACCGAGGTCGTTGAACGGCTGATCTGTGTCCCTGGCGTGCGCTACGACCCCCAAGTCTTGTCGGTCACTTATCTGAGGTGTCTCCCAACAAAGATTAGAACTCAGTTGGCCAGCGAGGTAATGATCACCATGCACACCTTTGCCTCGTTCAGTAAGAAGGCTTTAGATCTAGAAGCCAAGATTGGCCACAGACATACCCCACCTGCGGATGGTAGGAAGAAGACACTGTCTTCTGACTGGAAGGCGAAAGGTTGCATTATGTTCGTTGACAACGATGGTTCAACCATCGAGTTGGATGTCGAACCCCAGTCAGAAGTAGGTGCAAAGGCTGGTAGCGATACTTAAGGGGGTGGAGTAGTTGCGCCATTACAACAAAAAGGTAAAGGGACCGGTAGACGCCCTAGAGGATCCCGGTCAAAGAGTCAAACCGACCCCAATGCTCCTCCATGGGAGAAAGCGGGTCTATCTGAGGACATGTGGAGAGATCGGTGGGCCCGGCACGTTTGTATTAAGTGTGGTCAGTATGGTCATAGTCAGTACAAGTGCCGGAATAAAACGGTCACCGAGAAGATCCCGGTTACTATCGCGCCGACGATAGAATCCTCCACTCCCGTTGGTCGCAATATTGCTAGCACTTCTGGCACGGCTCCGGGCTACACGTCAGGCCAGTAGGAATAGTAGCTGTTGCTACTAGGGTCGCGGTGGTGGACACACCCTCACCTTCGCGAGAGATGGCCTAAGCTACTGACTCTTAAGCCGGCCCGCAAACACATTCAGACCCATCGACCCTCTGTTCGAAGAATGTGTTTGAATCCTTAAAGGAGCTAGAGGATGAGTGGTCTGGATCTGACCCACTAGCTTCTTGGACGGCGTTAGTCAAAGCACCTAGGAGTGAAATGTTTGTCCGCAAGGTAGCCATCGGCGGCCGCAAGACCGGGGCCTATTATGACACTTGCTCGACTAGAAATATTATTAGCTGCGCGTGCGTTGAGAGGCTGCGCTTACAGAGGCAAGTGCAGCACCTAAGTCGACCTGTGGAGTCGACCTGTGCCAACAAACAGCGCATGGTAGTCCATGACTACCTAAAAGACGTAGAGTGTCTTTTCCCGTACGCGGGGAGGGAACTGAGACATCGTGTCTCGTTCCTGGTTAGCGACGAGCTCCCCATAAACATACTATTGGGTATGTACTACCTCTCCGTGGCACAGCCCCAGTTTGACTGGGACCGAAAGGTGGTCAAGCACACATTGCCAAACGGGGGAACCGCCAGATTACATAAGTTTACGGCTAGTAGTCTGATCGATTCCCATGGATGCTTGTGTGCGGCCGCGTTGTACAATTATTATAAAACGGCGATGTCGTCAAAACGGACATTTTATATTTTTTGAACGAAATTGAAATTGTTATTTTTGAGCTGATTTAGGTGCAAAAACCATTACAAAAAGATGTTTGGTGTATGGGGTACGGGGTAAGGTGTAAGGTGTAAGGGGTAAGGTGTAAGGGGTGAGGGGTGAGGTGTAAGGTGTAAGGTGTAAGGGGTAAGGTGTAAGGGGTGAGGGGTGAGGTGTAAGGTGTAAGGTGTAAGGGGCAAGGTGTGAGGTGAACGGGGTAAGGTGGAAGGGGTGAGGCGTAAGGGATATGTGGTAAATTGCAAGGGTCAAGTGGCACAGCATATTGAGTAATATTTGACACCTTATACTACGGATTATCGTCTACACACTACTCACGAGCCACTGTGTCCAAAGCCATTCGACGACGTATCGCGGGTATATCATCAGCAGTGAAAAAGAAAGGTGGAAGCTGGCCCCGTGCCAACAGTGATGCGTATGTTAGCACAAAGACCCCGCACTCGTTCGTGTCGTGTTGCTTCGGAATGTCCTCTACATTCCATATGTGATTGAATGGTTTCGTGTCCACCTCTTTGCCTTGTGATTTCGATCTTTCGAATATAAACTTTGCAAACCCGCCGGTCACCTTTCTCGCCAACTCCATGTCGGGGTCGAGGGAGTCGTAAAATTCGAATTTCCTCCTCCTGAAGTCAGCCACGACAAGGGTCCAGTGGTTCTTGTGTTCGATATGGAAAGGAGCAATAATCAAGTCCATGTCACTTATGATAACGTCCTCTCACCAGCGCTCTACCTCTCGACCTCTATATCTCATTTCATTGTCGAAAAGTTTGACGAACAAAAATGAGCTAAGCACCGAAACTCTAGGAATGCGACCCTTTCCTTCTCTAATAACTATCTTATTCTTTGCGTCGCATTCCACGTGTTGTATTCTACACCAGTTGTCCAATGCTATGAGATTGAGGTAAAAGTTGATGACATTGTCGTTTAACCACTGACGTTCTACAGCGAGTGAAAGGAAATCGTTGCGAGTGAGTTGCAACACCTCGTTCATGTATACGTCGTGTGTGGTGGCTACGGGATACCTCTTCCCGTATTCGCGGATGATACTCGTCAAGGCTGCCGTCTCCCTCTTTGATAAAGACGAAGTTGCGAGATGCATTGTCCATCCTCTTTTGCACAGTCTTGTATCAATTGTTGCCATTTGCACTGCACACCACAAACATGAGGAATACAACATTCACGCGGGCGGACGGGGAAAGGATGGTGAGTGCATGGTCAAATGCTTTGTGGGAGCTAATGCATGCAACGCATGTTTTCAATGTTTCTCTAATCTTTTACTTGCATTTACCACATTCACATATACAATCAATCATTTATTCCTCACACCTTGGCCACCCTCATTGCATACGTCCGCATACACACATCCAAGTCGGAGAAAGAGAGAGAGAGAGAGAGAGAGAGAGAGAGAGAGAGAGAGAGAGAGAAAAGAGAGAGATCCAAGTCCGATTACATCCGCATACACACATCCACTTCGAAAATCGCAAGTATCATAAACATCTTAGGTCGAACGTAATATTGAGGAAAAATATATCTATACATAAAAGAAAATCAGGTGGTCGTAGTGCCTACGAAGACTAATACTAGTTCCATTTGAAACTAAAAACAAACGAGTCAATTGTGCGATTTCAATTAACAAAGAAAAGAATAACATTGCAATCATATCGTTGGTTTCTCCCTCTCCATTGCCCCCCTCCCGCCTCACCGATCATTTCACACTCCCCTCGTATTGACCACGTCATTTCCACCCTCACCCCCATAATCGAAATCATCGGTTAAGGTCTCAAGATTGTGAGGATGGAGGATTCCCTCCACATCCTCTCCCTTCCCACCATCCGCAACGGCCCCTCCCTGTGGTGTCAGATGTACTCGTGCATCACCTTTGTCTGTGCATAACTCCGGTTGCAACTGACTGCCCGGCACGCTCAGGGCAACACCTGACTCTGACTGCATTTCGGATGTGCCTTCTAATGCGGCGGATGTCAGTAATAAACTCCCGTAAGTGGCACCTGCATCTGACGACAATGCATTTGACACATCCATGCGTTTGGACGGTTCTGTCGTGTCGACCGAGATTTGCGGCATAGACGTCATGTGAACCTCTTGAGTCTTCACCACATTACTCCCGTCATCCTCCCTCTGCCCTGCCTGCGTGGGTACGGGGGGCGATGCCGACAAAGGCACGGCATCCTGAGAGCTGCTCTCTTCCATGGTTCCGATAGTTTGATTGACCTTCCAGTTGATTGACCCACATGACGGACTCGTTCGCAGGGAGTAAAATTTCCAACTGTACTCCAACTGTTGATTGTCTCGCAATACAGAAAACAATTCTTTGGCCTTGTCTTTGACAGCGCCCTCGTTCTTCCCCGGATTCTCCTTTTGCACGCGGTACATAATCGAGAGTTCTGTCGTTTTCAGCCATGTGTCTCTTGACATCCGGCGAAACGTCTGCCATCCGCGTGTGTATTTGACCGCCATCTTCCACTCCCCATCTTGGATGCAGGGCTCAAAAATGCCCTCATGCCACACGATGTCATGGCCCCACTTGTCCTCACCAGTGCGGGCGTGTTTGCCCCCCAATAAATTAATTGTGGTCGGATCAGCACAATAGCCGGGAGGAATTGGATCGCCCGGTGCGAGCTTCGACGCCTCGCCTGGCATATCAATATCATCTTCATCCTTGGGACCACATATTCCCATGTTTGGCAAACCGGTGCCCTCCATGGGGGCCACCATCGAGCCAACACTGGGGGCGGCCACCTGTACGGGTCTTTCATGCGAGCAAACGGTCCCTTCATCGTGTGACCGCACCATGCCACCGCCCGGACCTTCACCACCCTTGCCATCGCCGAATTCGAGGTCGGACCCCGAAGAATCTTCCTCGCTGTCGACGGGGTTAAAGCCATCACCCGATTTCGCGAGGTCAGCGTAGTCCTTGGACATCAGATTGTCTTTATGAAGATCGAACTTCAGGATCTCGCATCGAGCGACAAAAGTCTCAAAGGCGCCAGTAAGAGCACCGTGATAATGTTTCAGGGTCTCTGTCACCTTTGCTTTTCTGTAGATGCAATTCCCGTCAAGCCGTCCTTGTGGCGCATCGCGGAACAGGTATTCCCACACCTTCAGTCTCTTGCGTCCCAACTTGTGGAACATGTCCCTGTTGCTACGATGTTTGCAACGTGGCTTCTCGACATGACA